GTTGCATCCAAACCACGTGCGGAGTCAGCTGTTCCCAGTATGATCATCAGTGTTTTTAAATCAACCGGTTCAACTACAAGCTCACAACCGAAAAAACCTGGGTAAGTTTCGCCACTTACAAATGAGATATTCATTGTTGTTATTTGTATTAATAGTTTATCACAGATGAGAAAAAGACAACATTGAAGATGAGATATGTTTTTAATTCGTCCTATTCCAAGATTCTTCTTTTATTTTGATAAAACTAGATTATACTACTTTTACAAAATCTTATTCATGAGAGAGATTAAATGAATTGACCACTCATAATCGAACGGTAGCTCAGCTTTCGAGATATGGTACTAAACAATAAGTTGAGTATTTTATACAATTTTTGGTTTAACCCAATGATTAGCTTTCACAAGTATCATATACATAAATAATACATAATATTGATATTGTTTTTTGTTTACAGAAAATCGAATGACAAAGAACATGATAATGAAATAATCGATGATGTCGCATATCTTCAAGCATCTAGTTCAAAGAACCAACTAACTGAATCAAAGCCAAAAGCGATCACATACAATAAAGTTGATGATTTGAACGGCTATTCTACTGTTAAAAATCATACCTTTTTATATGAAACTCCCGGTTATTATTTCGTAATGTATGGTGCTCAAGTTGGTAGCCCAAGTGGAAATGGCCAAGGAGAAATTCACATGTGGACAAGGGAAAATGGTAAAGACGATCCTTCGTCAAATAGTATACAAACAGTTGAACGTAGAAGTTTATCGATACTCATTTATAATTCACTTATCAAAGCTCCAGTCGGTCGAGAAATCACTCTTATGATCTCAGCCCACCCATCTAATAAATGTAGCTCTCTCGGTTTGATTGCTCAAGATTTCAGACACGAACCACTAGTTCCCAGTATTGTAAGATCAGAAATTCAGCTTAGTGATATTGATCATCCAGTTCATAATTTGGTTCTAACCAGTTCAAAAACTCAACTGGGCTCTTCAAATTCCAAAGCAATTACGTATGAACAAGATCAATTTACTGGAATAGGTATACCAACTGCCACATCAGATGGATCCATCAAGTTTAATGAGTCGGGAATTTATTTTGTCTTATTTATTGGTGAGGGTGGAAGTGCTGCTGAAACTCGTGCTAGCGGTGAGATTTACTTGGGACCACAGCTCAATGAAAAAGATATTCCAAACAGCAATATAATTCAAAGTGTTCGCAGTGGTAGTCAACGAGTCTTGACCAGTCAAACTATTGTCAAAGTTGAAGCGAATGATAAACTTCAAATAGCGTTCTCAACGACAAACGAGCATATTGGTATAATTGCTACGGCACCAAAGAACGAACCATTCGTTCTTAGTTTGATATTGACAGTATTTGAATTAGGTACCAAAGAAAATCCAGTTCCATATGCTCAACTATCTAGTTCGAATTCACAATGGGGATGTATAACTCCGAAAAAAGTTGATCTCAATAACAACGAAGGTTCACATCGTATGAAGAATAATGACGGTACCATTGAGATCGAAGAATCGGGAACATACTTTGTAATGGGTTCTGGTCAAGTTGGAAGTTCGGATGGAAAAGGTAAGGGTGATGTGCATTTGTGGATTCGACTAAATGGCAAAGACGTGGCAGATTCGAACAATGTTCAAACAGTAGATGGTGATACGACTGTTTTAGTTTGTCAAGGCGTCATCAAAATGGAAGCTGGTGATAAACTTGAATTAATGTATTCTGCAGATGTTGCAAAAGGTAATCTTGGTTTTATTACCAATCAACCAGGAAGTAAAGAAAAAGTACCCAGTATGGTCTTCACTGCCTTTAAATCAAGTTATACGAAGTCATCTAAACATTATAACAAATATAACGAAGATTAAGAACTAACTGCAATATATAATGATTATCATATGATTTTTTCAACATCTATTCGTAGTATATTCTATTACTTTTACCTCATTTTTGCTAAAATATCTTTTTTTATAAAAAATAATTTGCTCCTTTATTGTAATTGTTTTTTCGAAGAATAAAATCATTTACTTTTTCAAAATAAAAAAAGTTTTGATTCGTGTTTGCTTAGTTTGAAAAAAACAATTTATTCAATATCTGAAACTACATATGTACTTGTCCACTCATCCTCAATAAATTCTTCAGACGAAGTAATATATTTATCTCCCAAATATAAATGAATATTGTAGATTATAATCAACATTATCTCATCATAGTCAGTTCTTAATTATTTTGATACTTATACTCGATTATTATATTTAATCGAAACTGAAAAAAAATTAGAATTGCTGCTTTTTCATCAATTATTTGTGCTTCAAATTTATAAATATTATATTAACATTGAGTTTTACATAAAACTTTATTTTAAACAAGCAGCTTAACTAACATATTTTCGTTTTTTTTTCTTTTCGTATACGACGAGGGGTGAATGTGAATATAAATGAATAATACCATCTTGAGGGTATGGATGTGGGTGAGTGTTAAATGCAGTGATTATCGACGACAGCACCCACACCCTCAAATAAAAAAAGTGAGTTTTTTAAAAATGAGTGGTAGTTGGGTAAATAGCCTTGGTAGTTGGGCGGCGCCCAAACATACCCGCCCTTGATTACGCCACTACCGAGCCCTGCTTAAGCCCGAGTCTAATCAAGCCTAAGCCTATCGAGCCTCTCGGGCTTTGGCTCGGCATATCCCCTGGTATTCTTTTCACTTACAATGGCATCCACACGCATTCCACATCCACCTATACCCACACCCATCATCTGATGTATTATCATGCATGTATCTGTTTGCTCTTATCTTCGAATTGCATGTCGTTCTATATCATTGCTTTCGTCATCGTCACAAAAATAAGGAAATATTCGATATACACAAGTTCCATTAGCAGTTGCGACAGATCATTTTTTTCAGTAGAACACAAAACTTCACATAAAAATGTTGTTTACCAACTTTTGCCTTGAAATAAGAAGATAAGTGACTATATACATACAGAAAAGATAATAACAACGATGACAAACAAGACACTGCAGAACGATAATATCACATGAGAGCAGTATCATATGATGAATTGTGTATTTTTCTTCATAATCATCAATCTAACTCTAACATGCTCTTCTTCACTTTATCTATTGCAGCTATTAAACACCTCTTCAAAAGTTATTATTTAAAGGTGAGTTGCGTTTGATAATATATTAAGAATTCTCTTTTGTTATATTATTCAAAAGTGAGATAAGAGTATTTTCTGCTGCAAACAAGTACTGGTTGTTGTTTATTATTTCTGTTAGAAGTTATTCTATACTGGTAAGTTTCATTATTTATATCTGGACTCGTGTACTGTATTTTTTATTTTAACCAAACTTTTAATTAATTTATAAAAGAACACATTCTTCAGTAGCTAGAAATTGTTAAACTGTATAATTTCTATCAAAAATTCTATCAAAATCTACATAAATAATACAATCATCTTAACGTTCGAACATGAGATAAGGAACTTATGAGTTTGAATACATTTCAACTTTTAAACTATAAGTTAAGTTAAATAATTAATTTAGATCAAATTCAATATAAACTTATCGTCTCTAGATGTAATTTATAGTCGTGAATACTCTAGAGTAGACTTGCAATTTTACGTGATCGATAAAAACAATCTATTTCTTGCGTATAGACATACAAAAAATCAACACAGTTTAAACTTAAGTTATATATCAAAAGTCACCAATAGAGAAGTGCCCGACCAGATTTTTCTGGTTTCAGTGCCAGTCTAGCCCTAGTAGCTCATTTTTTATCAGTCCTGACCGTAGCAATCTGGAGTCTAGTATGTTTTGGGCCTCGATCCAGACCCGGCAACTAGTTTTTTCTAATGACCGCGGTTCTTATCACAGTCCAGTTAACGCTTTATTTTTTGGCTTCAGCTGCAGCTCCGGATACTGGGAACGGGGTCGGGATCCGAGCCGAAGCTGATTTCACATATCTCTAATCGTCTTTCTTCATCCTAAGTGCTTTTATTATATTAAATGATATTAGTTTGAAAATAATAAATTAATTTATGATATACGAAAAACTTACTTTAAAAAATGACAAAGTAAAGAATATCACATAAATTTTAATTCAAGTCTCGATTCAGACCACAGACTCACTTAAATTTAAATTTGTGGTCTCGGGTCTTCTAAAGTTTCAAATTACCTGCCCCTGATCTCGGCCACAGCTGCAGTAAAGCTCTATTTCTCGGCTCTAGCTTCGGCTACAGGGATAGGGTTCGGAACCACCGGGCTCGAAGCTGGTCCCGCACATCTCTAGTCACGAAACTACGCCTAATGCTTTATACTATAAAATATCATACTAACCTCGTTATGTACTTCATGATTTTCAGTAAAAAATTCAATGTTTGCGCGCCAACTTCTGTGCGCCGACACTTACGCGCACGACTCTTACGTGCAGAATTATTATTTTTTCAAGCTTGTTACCGTAGCTTCTTTGGGCCTAAGATGTGGAGCTCACATATTTACTACGAATACTAAAAGAATCCAGTCATTGAGCTTTGATCACGATGTCTAATCATTATTTACCCTGTTGTTGAGCTTTAACCCTCCTGGTTCCGAAGGCGTGCAGCCAGAAGAAGATGGCGAAAACCATCAACACGTAAACTCAGATATTTTTAATTAAGAATACTCGCCTGTGACGGCGGTCTAGTTGTGAGGCAGGAGAGAAGAGGAAAAAGCTGAACATTAAGTTTTTCATTAAAACTAAAAACACTCGACTTTTTCCTGTGAGGGGCTGAAAGTCGCAAAAATCGTACTTATAACTTACACTCACATTTTTATATGTGAGTGCCACAAAAATGACTTTGCCCGTGGGAGTAGTACACGTAAGTGTCGTGTTCTTTTCATTTTAACAATCATATAAGTATTTATGTTAAATATTTCTATAATTTTAATATGTCTTATATATATATATATATATTTATATAAGATTCAGTGTCAAAAATGAAGACTAAGTATGTTCCTACGGCAACTGATGATGATATCGCCGCAGATGATTTGGAACTACCAGATATGATAATGAATAATCAACAGCGTCAACCGATATATCGAAAACTTGAAAAAGATCATCAATCATTACAACAGTAAATAATTATCATTGAGTTATTTTAATATAATTCTTTTTTTTTTCTATTATATTATGTTAATAGATCATCGCGGAAACGAACTTTTCGTTCAAAACCAATTCGAACTATAAGTATTATTATATTATTGATTTCTATGATCAGTGCTGGTATTATTGGATATATTCATTACAATACATCAAATACAACTGAAACACTCGTTAACGAAAATCAAGGTAAATTATCAATTCATTCTGGAATAGTTTTATAAAATCTGAAATACTTTCCTGAATCTTATTGAAATCGATATTTTTGTTTTTGATTAAATATAATAATAATGTTTATAAATTTAGATGAAAGTGAACGAATTCCTCAATTACGATCATATTCAAATGACGATGTAAATATTTTTATTTTATTTAACAAAAAAAATTTTTTTTTTATTTGATATAATAGGATTCTGATTATCCTGAAATTGTTGGTCAAATTCATATTTATTTTCGTCGATCACCTGATTCGTTTTATCGACGATCATTTGAAAAACTTACTATTCCTGTTGCAAGATACAATCGTCGACATTTTCGTAAAATAATTTTTTTTATAATAAAAAATATAATCTTTTCTTTTTTAATTTTTAGCTTTAAAAGGCCCATTTATTAGTTTAATGCCACGGATGCCAATATTTGCTGATCGATACAATAAACAAACAATAATCTACTCGAAAAGAAGTTCAAGTTAATATTTATATTCATATTTATTTATTTATAAAGAATAAATTTATTTATTTATTTAGCCTTAATTTATGTTTTACCAGCATTAAATGATAAACATGGAAAACGTTTTTCAATTGCAGAATTAATTAAATCAGGTCATATTAGTTTATCAAATACTGGTATACAACTAAAATCAGATATGGATATGTCAACATACTTTCGATCAGAATCTTGTTTGTTTTATTTTTTTGATTTAAATATTTCTGATTATTTATTTCTTATTTAATAGTAAAAGGTTCAAATATTCCACGAATTAATTCTCGTACAGGTGGTTTCATGGATGGTTATCATACTAATTATGAATCATTATCAGTACCAACTTATGATGAAGTTACAGTTGATAGTAATGAAATGTTTGGCTCAGAAGAGAAAAGTGAAGAGAAGAGTGAAGAAAAAAATGAAGATGATAAAGAGGAATACAAGAATAATAAAAATGATCAAGATTCTTCTAATCAATATGAAAATGATGAAAAATCACGATCACCTCGACGTCGATATCCTGCACGTCGACGTCCACGACCTACACGACGACCACAAAGTAATACAAATTAATTATTACTCATGATTTAGTCTCAATAAAAGTCATTATATAATCAAATTATTTTTTTTATTATTATATTTTAGCTTATAAAACAAAAACAACAACAACAACAAGAAAATCAAAAACAACAACTGAATCGTAAGATTTCATTAATATCTGTTTGATTAAAATTTAATATTAATTAATAAATAGGGAATCAAAAACAAAAAAACCTAACGGAAAAATTATTGATAATGTTGCATATTTTCAAGGATCAAATTCGAAAAATCAATTAGGTGGATCAAAAGGAAAAGCAGTAACATATAATAGTATTGATGGTTTAAATGAATACACAACATTTCCTAATGGAACATTACAAACTGAAAAAACTGGTATTTATTTTTCAATGTTTGCTGCACAAATTGGTAGTCCAAATCGAAATGGTAAAGGAGAAGTTCATATTTGGACGGAAAAAGATGGTAAAAATGAACAGAATTCAAATAGTATTCAAACAGTTAATCGTGGAACTACATCAGTTCTTGTTTATTCATCAGTTTTTCAAGCTTCAACTGATCAAACACTTGTACTTTTATATTCAGTTTCAACAACAAATAAATGTACATCGTTAGGTTTAATTGCAACAGAACCAGAACATGAATCAGTTGTTCCAAGTATTATAACAACAATTATACAAATTAGTGATGGTATTAATACCATTCCATATGCTGAATTATTTAGTTCAAAAACTCAATTGGCAAATTCAAATTCTGATGTTATTATATTCGATAGTTTCAGTGCAAATAATAAAATTAATACAAAAAATACAAAACATAATGGAAATATTGAATATAATGAAGAAGGGATTTATTTTATTATTGCTTGTGCTCAAGTTGGTAGTGAAATTGATAGTCATGCATCAGGTGATGTTCATTTATGGATGAAACTTAATGACAAAGATATGTCAAATAGTAATACAATTCAAACTATTCATAGTGGTAGTACTGCCGTATTAGTTAGTCAAACAATTATTAAACTGAAATCAAATGATAAAGTTCAAATTGCATTTTCATCTACAAATAAAAAATTAGGTGTTATTGCTTCACAACCAAAGAATGAACCAGCTGTACCAAGTATTATAGTATCAACATTTCGATTACGTCATCAAGGTGATGCAATTCCATATGCACAATTATCAAGTTCAAAAACACAATGGGGTTGTAAGAAATCTCAAGGAATTGAAATTGATATGGATGATGGTTTACAACGTATTAGAAATAAAAATGGAGTTATTAAATTTAGAGAAGCAGGAACTTATTTTGTTATTGCTGCTGTTCAAGTTGCAAGTGAAGATAATAATGGTATTGGTGATCTTCATTTATGGATGAAATTAAATGGAAATGATATACCTAATTCAAATACTATTCAATCGATAAATAAAGATACTGGTGTATTAGTTTGTCAGTCTGCTATTGAAATTAAAGTCGGTGATAAACTTCAAATGGTTTATTCTACTGATGTTGCACACGGTAAAATTGGTTTAGTTGCTACTCAACCTCATAATGAACCATTGGTACCCAGTATTATCATGAGTATTATGAAATCAAGTTATGCAGAAGATAATTATGATTGATTTTGAAATTTAGTGAAAAGTGCATTGAAAATAAAACAATTATCTTAAATAAAGTTTTTTTTGTGAGAATTATTTTAAAACAATTTATTTTTTGATTCTACTTAATTTTTTTTAAATAAATAAAACCATTTCTTTTCTTTTAAAACAAAGATTTTTGGATATACTTTCTAATCTAGTGACTCTATGGCTATACATTAAAACTATAAATAATAATCAACTAAACATGAAAAAAAACTATTGATTTCTAATAATTTTGTTTGTTACTGTAGAATGAAAGATCTTGGGTTTTGTATTATCATTAGATAAATTAATGTTTGAAACAAAAGAAAACAACCATCTTGAGGGTGTGAGTGTTCGTGCCCATAATCACTGAACCAGAGATGTCCATGGCGGCGAGGCAGCAACTTTTATCATACTGTCGCGGCAGCGGCAGCTCTTTCAGGAAACAATTTTAAAAATTACGAAATTTACACATAATCTCGACATTGACGTATTCCGCAATGTAAAACTAGACGAATCTCATCGATTAGCAGCAACAGCACTCGTTTAAACCACTCTCAGTCTTGAGAATCGGAAGATTTTAAAAACCCCATCGCGGCAGCGTCGTGGTAGCGGCAACTTTTTATAGGAGCGCGGTGCGGCAGCGGTGTGGCACACTTCTTTTTGTTATAGTCGCGGCGCGGCAGCGGCAGATTCTCAACCGCGATGGACATCTCTGCGCTGAACTCACCCCTACACCAACCCACACCCTCAAGAACTATTAAAACTATGGTTATATTATTTAAAACTTTTTTCATATGCATTATCATGTTTACCATCTATTCAATAAACAGTTTATCGAGGTGTTAAACTTGATTGAAGTTATTTATATTCGGAAAAGAAAAGTATTATTTAGTGGAGTTTTTCATCATGTACAATCACAATAAATGTTTTAGAATGAGGAAAATTTTGTGGTAAAACAGGTCTTCGAACACTTTTTACTATTGAATGTTTAAATGAAAAAATTTTCGATAACATTCATACTTATAAAAAAAAGAAAATGAAGTTTTATTAGTTGTTGCCGCATAATTTCATATTATTGATCAATATTCCCCATCATCTCATATACATGTTATATAATTAAAACAAATTCAGTCATAAATTTTATAAAAAAATTTAGAAAAAAGAAAATTTTCTGGAACATCAAATAATTCAGTATCTTTAATAAATACTTCTTACAACATCAATGAATTATATTCCATACACAAATATTTCATTAGAAAAACATCTATCAATATGTGATAATTGTATATTTTTATATCGAACAAAATTAAATGATCATGATATGAAAATTATTGTTGAAAAAGCAATAAATATTAAACAATGTCATATATTGAATTTGCATTATAACTCTTTCGGGTGCTTTATGTAACAAATAATTACATAAATATAAAAAAAATATTAATTTAGATAAATATCAATCAATTTAAGAGTGTAGTATGAGTAACATGTTAGTCTTGTTTCTTACTTACATCCATACGCAGACCCACACACCTAGACCCAGACCTTCACATCTAAACTCACACCCTTAAATTGATTGATATTTATCTAAATTAAGATTTTTTTATATTTATGTAATTATAATATTTGATTTGTACATTTTTTTGAATATAATAAATGATTCATAATGTGAAACTACTATTAAGTTAAGGCATTTCATATATGTTAAAAATCATGTACATATAAGACTTATCTAACTTAACTTTTATTAAATAATTTCTTATGACTGTTTGGGTGCACATAGCCACTTCTATATGAAAACATTCCTTAATCACAACATTTGTTGTTGCTCAAAGTTGATCCGATTGTTCACCAATACATGCCGAAATAGCAATAGTAACTATTTTACAATAGTTTTCGATAAATAACTCTCCAGTATATTGACGTATTATATTGATATATTTTGCAAATTTTATATATAAAGTATTACTCATACTGGTAGTTTGACCATTAAATGAAGCTAAAAAACGTACTTTTAAAATATTTTCAACATAAAATTCCGCTACAAATAAAAATTGAAGTGTTTAACAATTATCAAAAGATTCATAACAACAATTAAATAATATTCAGAAGACTTTTCATACTATACTTGGTGAACTTATTCAATTAGTATCGGTGCAAATTGATCAGAAGATAATTGCTGATGAAACAGTTCTTTGTATTATTCAAGTCATGAAAGCTAATGTATCAATTAAATCTGATTGTCATGGAATATTAAATTATATTTTCATAAGAGTCAATCAGTTTGTCAAGAAAAATAATTGGAAATAATTCTGATGAAATATAAAAATGATGAAGAGAATTATGCCAAAGTAAGAAACTATAGAAATGTCAAACAAAGAAACGATGAGTAGATTAAATTCAATCAAATTTATTTATTAAAAAAGAACAGATCAAAGGCGAGCTTGATAAATCAGTTGATGAACATTAATTTAACTTTGTTTTATATCATCTTCACAGTAAATAATGAATTTTATACCAAGTGAAAACGAGAGTTATCGATATTCTTCTGGCGAAATGCTATTTCTAACAATCAACAAATACAAATAGTATTATTCATCTACAAGAAAATTTTCTTAATTCTAAAATAGATTTTTTTTAACAAATACAAAACGGATACAAATATTATTTTAATATCAATACAAAATTTAATAATATGAAGTTATCATGTATGTTTTATTGATATTTATGTATAATAAACAAATAGAATTACAATGAAGAAAATCATAGAAGAAAAGAGATACTATTCGATTGATGATATTAAATAATAAAATAATCATTTATACATTCCTTAATTCTACGTTCTCGTTATTGGAGAAATCGAAAGTTTTGACTATTCAATAAGAGATAGATTTTATTCTAATAAATCGATTATCTTATCATATGAATTTATTTTTTTTACAATCATTTTTTATATAATCTAACCATTGATTTAGATTCATTCTTTATATTAATCTAATAAGATTGAAAATTTAAACACGTAATTATCTGTACGTACTCAATAGTAGGTATGATTAATTTTTATATTTTGATTTTTCGTAGAAAAAAAATACGTGTATATCTTTTGAAAATAATTTCACCTATGATAGACATGTGTGTAGGTAAGAAAAATTTTTCTTCGTATTAAGAAATTTGTTTTTGTCATTATATGATTTATAAAATACGTCGTTATTTTTTCAAGGTTTCTCTATTGATGCATATCGGTTTTATATTTAGTAAGGATGATTGTGAGATCAAAATATGTTATTTTTTATAATCCCCCTTTTTTCTCTATGGTGTGACCAATAGATATATAAGGATGAGAATCTTCACATAAAAATACCATTGTGTATACATCCTACCTTGGTTATTTATCTACACATCCGATCAACCAGCAATCAAAAAATGAGTGGTATTCAAACAATAGCTTATTTGGTTCTTGTCTCTTTATTCTTGACAATAAACTGTTATGTACAAGAAAACAGCAACGAAGATATGGTTGATGACAGTTATTATGGTGCTCGCCGACACTTGGTAGCAGAATATCTCAGCCAATACGTTGACAAACGTGCTGCTGCTAAATCAGTTTGTGGTGGTACTACTCAATGTGCAGATTTTTGTAATTCAAATACCCGCTATGATGCTAGTACTACATGTGGTTTGACTTGTTATGATAGTAAGTGGGTAGAAAAAGTTGGTAGTACAGGCACTTGTCAACTTAGTTCTAATGTTTGTGCTGGTGCTTCTTCTACTTTTTGTCCTGGTGGCAATTATACTAGCGTTCATAATGGTTTTTCAGGCAATCCAAGTTATTTCGATTGCGGTAACGGTTATGGTTGTGGTACCAATGGAGGATGTTGTGTTCGTATTGCTGGTCAAACTGCTAGTACTTGGCAATATTATTGTCTGAAATGCAATCAAAGCTAAAACTGATGAACAGTTTTATTATATGAAGAGAACTTTATTCATGCTCTGCATGTATCTATTCTTACTTAGTTAGTTTCATTATGTATCTTTTATAGTGTGCGTACTTCTTTTTTTTTAATCTTTTCTCATTAATATAATCATCTTTTTTTTCTTGTACTCTTTAATTAATACTCTATTATTGACACATAAAATGTTTTCTTTCTAAAAATTCTTTTTTTGTGATATTACGTATAGAAACAATTCAAAGTTTTCAATAAAATCTTCATAGTATAGAAAAGTCTTTCGTTTTAATCTTGTTATTTTTTATGTGTTTTACTCATAGAAAAAGAAAAATAAGTATACAACCACATGAGAAAAGACGAAGAATAGAACGAAATAAAAACAAAGAGTGATTAATAATATATAAAATTACTTTAAGTATTATTGAAGCAGACGAAAAAAGTATAAAGAATGAGGATTTATTTCATTCGTTTTTCGACTAATTCAAAAAATCGATTGATCTAGTCTAAAGCTTTGAACAAACTAGAAAGTTTTATATTATGTCATTGGTATAAGTCTAAATCCGATCTATTGAATTTCGAATCTATTTCGGTTTTGATCAAGTTAGAATCTAGCAGAGATAGAGAAAAGATTTTCTGTTCAAGTCATAAAAGATATCATCAATAAAAACAAATAAAAAAAGACGTGACCATTCTGAATGTGAATTTATTTTTTTCAGTAATTTAGTGTGATGGTCTATAGACACGTGTTTAGATTATTATTCTTTTCATTTGTACATATATACAGTTAATAAGTGTATTATAATTTTTTTGTATTGTATTGAATATGTTTTTGTTTTGATGATTGTGATCATAATGACGTAAATACATTCAAGGACTGATCAAATTTCGATGATGATATAAATATTTCGGTTATTCCGCATCGAATATGTTCGTTGTTTTTTTTTATTATGGCAACTGCGCAGCTTATGAAGATAATATGAAGCCTCTTTTCATTCGTTTTTATTGAAAAAAAATTTCTTCAATCAATATACGAATCCCTCTTCAATTCACTAA